CGGGCGGCAGGAGCCCGCGGTCGCGCCGGACGAGCCCTGCGGTAAGAGAAACTTTTTCCCCCCGCCCCGGGCCCTCCCCCTGCTCGCGGGCCTGCCCCGGCTCTGCGGTCGGCCCCCGTCGTGAGGGAGACCCCCCGGTTGTCACCCCTCATTCCGGCCGCCAGCCCTTGGGAAGTCGCTTGAACCTCCCTGGTTGGTCTTATTTAGGACACGGGACACGGCTCCTCCTGGGCACTTGGGACAGGGGCAGGCAGGAGCTGAGGGGGAAAAGGTGGAGGGGGAAAAGGGGGTGCTCTCCCCCCCCCCTTCCCCAGCGCTGCGAAAGGCGGTGGCGGCGCAGCTTAAAAATATCCAGGCTTGGTGCAAGACAGGAGGCACCCCCCGCGCCCGCCGCGAGGAAACCAGACTGCAGAGACAGACGTGCTTTTGCGAGATGCTTTCGCCCTGCAGGAGGAAGGGGAGCCCCGGCAGGGTGAGCGCGGGGCTGCTGTCCCTGCCTCCCTTGCCCGCAGGAAAGCTCCCAGAAGCCGGACGTGGCCGGAGCGTGCCAAGGGGACAGGTTCCCACTTGGGCCTTCCTGCGCGTGGGGATGGGTTCGGGATTAGCGATTAAATCGGCGAACGTGTCGCGCCCGGAGTGCGAAGCGTGGCCCCTCGCCGCTCTGGGAAGCGCTGCGGGGCCGCATCTTGACCGAGGGGTTTCTGGCGGGTGCTGAACTTGCCTTTTCAAAGCAGGCGGGTGGCATTTTGCTGTGGCCGGAAAGCAGGTGCGACGGGTGGGTGCGAGACCCCAAATGTGATGTGGATTCGTTGTCGGGGTCAATCCACATCACCAAAAACGTGTGTGGGTAGGGCATTGCGATGAGTTGCATGTCGTGGGCTCTGTTGTGTGTTTTTTTTTTTGTTTTTTTTTTTGTGTGTGTGTGCATGTGCATCTCTGCTACTGATTTGCAGGACTTTGGGAAGTCACTTTACCTCCCTGTTTCCATCCCTGGTTTGTCTGTTTAGGACGTAAACTCTTAGGGGGCAGGGACTGTCCCTCAAGATGTCCGTATGGTGCCGAGCGCAGTGTAACATGCCGTTAGTAACAGATGAGCCACTTGGAAGTGCTGTGTGGGGAGCTGGCTGAGGGATGAATAACATCTTATTCATATAGTTGCTTTAAATCCAGAAGGATCCCAAGATTTAAAAAAAAAAAAACGTCTGCGGCTGCTGTGCCGGTTGGGACAGCTCATTGACTGCTCCACGTAATCCATGTTTCTGGGAGACTCGCTGCAGCGTTGACTCTGCTGCAGAGTCGCTGCTCCAGCTTCAGAGCTTCCATTTGCGAAGAATAAAGAGCCGAGTCTTTTATGCTTGGGAGGGGAAGCCTGCCAGAAGTGAATGGGATGTCAAACAGACGTGATTTTTGGCTTGATGAGTTTTGGGTAGCCTGAAACAATAGCCCTGAGAGGCATGAGCTGCCGTGCTCACACCAGCGGCATTCTGACTCGGAGAACTAGTGAGGGCATCCAATGTCGATGTCTGTACTCGCTGCACTGCTGAGGATTTTAGGAAAAACTCCACTAATGCGTTTATCCTGCTGTCACGGATACCTGCCCCCTCATTGAAAACCCCAATTGTCCTCTCACCAGGTGCCAAAACGTCCAGTGCCCATGTCTGAAGCATGGGGCATGTTGCTAACTGTCCAGTTTAGAGGTAATGTAAAAGGAATCGGATTGAATGTAAAATAAAGCACAGGGGATAACATACCGATTATGGCTTTTGTTTTTTGTATTTGATTCTGAGAGAATCTCGGTTTTAAAAACTTGATCCAGACCTGCCATGTGTTGCTGGCAGGCTGCCCCATACTATCATTGAATACTGCTGGGAGGGGGGATATGGTCAAACTTGCTACTGAGCATATGGGGTGTAGCTACTGTACCTGTTCTCTGATAATATTTTTCTCTTCTTCCCTAGGACTCCCATTGTTTAGGCCTCAATCTGGCAAAGACTAGGCATGAGTGTAACTGTATGCCCCGATCTGAGTGAGGCCATTCATGTGCAAAGCTATGCATGTGCCTAAGTCTTCAGTGAATTGGGAGGCTAGTGAGAAAATAATCCCTTTTCTTGGGAGAAAACAAAAGTGTTTAAGAGACTCATCACGTGATGGCTTCATATTTATAACTCGATGAAGCTCTTGCTTGTTTGCATCAGGCTGCTGTCTGGAGGCAGGGGTAGGATTTACCCTACAAGGTTTTCTGGGTGAAGTTTAGCTGCTCAGTGTGCCTGGGTCATCTAAGTCATTAGGCACTGAGGTGTTTCTGGTGCATGGTGCAGGCTCGTTAGATTTTAATGAGATTTTCCTCGTGATTCCAGGGTGCCCGCCTTCCTTTTCCAATTTTTTGCATCTTGCATGGCATTGAGGGAGAGGAGGGATTGCTTTGCTGTTTCATCTTCCTGTGGAGGTAGGCAAGGAAATGTGCTTTGTTGTAGCGAAACTCGTTGCTTGCAAACGACAGATCTAGTCCCAGCGTGGACCTCAGTGCTGTTATATCTACTTGTGTGTGGTGAGGATGGAGGTGGCATGCAGAGCGGTATCCCTGAAAACTTGAGGCTGTTGCTTACCTAAGGCATGTGAAAAGCTGCACCTCTTCTGCAGGACCTGCCTTGTTGTATAGCAGGTCAGCTGTCCATTGGGTCCCTGTTGGTGCTGAGAGTCCAGATTCTTTAGAGCCTGGTGCCTAACATTTTCCATAGCTGCAGTCTCTCTATCCATTTAGCAATATTGGAAGAGCAGGGTGGTCCAGACGCTGTGTACCTAGAGGACCATGCACAACTCTCCTGTGATCAGACTGTTTGCTCCTCGTGCCCTTACAGGCTCATCCTGTGCATGGAACTGTTTGCCTCCATGCAGAATTTACTCAACAGTAGAGGAAGGCACGTAGGGTGGGATACAGAGTATTAATGCCTATAAGTGTCATGGAGCCCAGTTAACAGAGTGGAAAACCATGATCCTAGGTAGGTTGCAGTCTAAAGCTGGAAAAGCTGTTGCCCCACCTGAATCTGCTGTGATTAAAGGGAAAAAAATGTAAATGTTTGGGTAAGAAGATTAAATATTTAAATTAATCATATGCCACTCTGGACTGCCTTCAGCCAGAATGCTTGGCCAGATTTTCCCAGTAGATAGCAAGATCAGAAATATTTGTGGATGCTGTCCTTGTCCACTGGGATTCCTTGCTCTTTTTTTATCCACCCCTCCATTTATTTTTGGGTGCCAAACTATTCTTGGAAGCAAAGTTGAGTGCTTCTGCTCCTCTTTCACCTCCATCTTCTTTGTTGCAGCCTTCTGTGCCAGGGCTTGCCTCTACTTCAGAGGATCGTGTAGCCTGGCTTGCTTAGATCTGTTTATGACCGAGTCAGAAGAGCAGGAAGGAAACCTGCTTAGAGACACATTTAGCCCCTTGATCCCCCAGTGACCTCTGTGTGATGGAGCTCTGCCCAAGTTTAGATCCCCACTGAGATTGGTGAGGCTTGAGGGAGGCATAGGAGTTTGTCTCTGAAACTCCTTGCTGGATTGGAGCTTTAGACCCATCAGATATTGTGTATGACCTTCTAGTACTCAACTGCATGCAAGCAATAACTCTGCCACCCACTTTCCCACTGTCACTGTTTAGATTAATAAAGTCTCTTCTGCTAACAGAACCAGGCAGTGGAGTTGTAGACTAAGAAGAAGGGGCTTCTACTTGAAGCAGTATGGTCCTTGAATAGCCCCTGGCATAACCCTGGGCACTAACGCGTAAAGTCGCTCTTGCAGTAGAGACTCTTGTCTGATTCCACATACGCCCAGAATTTGTGCTTAGTAAAACTTTGAACCTGGTTTCTTATCTTTTGAAACCATCCCATATATGCAACGTATGTAGTTAAATCTCTTCAAAAGGATCTGGGGGGAAAATACTCTTTACGCTTATTCCTGCGCAGCCTACAACCTCAGCTGATCTCTCTGACTATACTGCTAATTCCACAAACTTCAGTAGTGCCATACGGACTTGGAAACATCTGTTTAGCTAGGGCACTGGCTCAGCGCAGGAGCTACCTGATGGGTTTAGCTATGAGACTGGAAAACAGATGCGCTGCCCAACATGATCTCATTTGAAGGGAAAGAATTATTTGGTGCTGTGCTTGACAGTGGCAGTATGAGAAAGTAATCCTGATGCAAAGTTCAGTCTAAAGCCATGTGGCTCTAACATTGGTACTGATCAGTAAAGGTTTTTATTCCCCCTATCTTTTTTGCAGTACTGCAAAGACAGAAGACTGAGACCTGTTTGACACCTCAACCAAATTCATTAGGCACTGTAATTGTTAATAAAGCTACTGCCCATTTAAACTAAAAAAATCAGTAGCCCAAATAACCTAATGGGGGATTCCAATATGCTGTTCCTACAGGAAATAGCTGAGATTTTTTTAGGCACTTATCAATGCAGTGTACTTCCTCTGGGAATTTTCTGATCTGCACCCCAAGGGTTTCATTCTGCACTTGGTTACACCAATGCAAATGGAGTAGCATCAGCATAACCAAGGGCAGGGTTTGGTCCAGAGTGGTGACTTAAATCTTAGTGCTAGTAGTATTCAACTTGGAAAGCAGGCACCAAGGTCATTCACGTCCCAAGAGCGTGTTTATTTTTCTTGCTGTACCAAGACAGGATCCAAACACATGGTGTGGAAATACTGTTGCATTTTTAATTTTTAAAGGAGATAAATTATCAGTCTGGAGCAACACTGACTCCTGCTAGTGCAGACAATGGAAGCTCTAGCCCAAAGTGTCCTGTGACACCTTCTGGGAAGTGTTTAACCTACAGCTTAATTAGTTACACAGTGTGCATGCAGCAGTCTGGAAGTAGGGCATGTCTGCGTCAAGGTGATTGGTACCTGGCCTGGAGCATGTAGCTGATCTTTCAGGAGCACGTGTATGTAGCGCGTCCTTTGCCATTGCTAACTGTTTCCTGAAACTTCAAGGAGAATCTTCTCCTTGAGGGCAAAAGCCAGGCAGAGCTTGAGTTTCC